CTTCAAGGGACAACTTATGACAGTTAACCTACCCCGATTGACATCCGGCATGGCTTCCTCTCCTGGTTGCAGGCCGCCAAGCGCTTTCAGGGCCGACAAATCGAGCAACCAGTTGTCAGAGGGACGGAAATTGTCCTCCGCCTCCGCCTTCCCCTGTTTTTTGTTCTCTCTGTCTAGCTGGATGGCAACATTTAGCTTGCAGGGCACCCAGTTGGCATCTACGCTAAACTTGAGCATCTGCACACACAGGAAGTCTGGGAAGTTGACCAGGCGGGAAGAGCGATAGGCCACGGTCTCCTGAAAGGGCGGTTCTGTGGCAGGACTCTTGAAGTCCGCGATGGTCTCTGTGGAGGCCCAGTTTTTGAGACAATCCTACGTAAAGACAGCATAACAAAAGTAAACGTGATGCAACAGGACTGCTATGGTTTAATATCTAGAAGTGGCTTTCACCGAGTAGTCATCATCGCAGGCCGCAAATGCGCTTTCCCATCTGTCTTTAACACTTTGACTGCGATTCTCAAAATAGCCTGTATGCCCCTGGGGCGGCGTTTTCAAACCTGCATTACTTTAGGCCTAGACGTGTACCATATATGGCGCACGTCGCAGTTTGGGACATCATTGCATGTACCACATATGGCGCACGTCGCAGTCAAAGTTTAAGTCACGGGTTTGGGGTGATCAACAAAGATAACTACTCAAAACTATGAAGGACAGCCATCATTAACTGGCCGACATCCGCTGTAGGTATCATAATTCAAAGTGTCGGCTGTGTCAGCTTGACATTAACGAATGACGATATTTACCATGTGCTTCATGACGAGATGGGCATCAGCCGGTGACATGCGAGTGAATTAGTTTACAGTAGTCGCACTCTCCTCGCTCGCCCGCATGGACCCAGTGAAAATTATCGCAGGCAAGATTGAGCCGGTCAGTCGTCTGATGTTGGAATCGGACAAAAGTGACTGGTATACCTTCATTGATCGCCTACGCTTACTATACGCGATGTTACCCGAGTTTTGCTGACCTTTAATGGTCGAGGTGACGTATTCGCCATATTTGGCGAGCTTTTCTATTTTGCATAAATAAGTGTTACTCACACGTAGTAAGTAACACTATACCAAACTAACTTTTAGGGAGTGACGGACTTGGCGTATGAAAGTCCTGTGAAAGATGCTCCTTGAAAATCTCTCAATCAAAATGCGTTTCAAGTCATGGCTTGAAAGATTGCCAAATGATCGGCTGGACGGATGCGTCCGCACATGTATTTGCTATATTACTGGCTGCTGATGGAAAGTAAGTCAAAAATGGCACGTCAAGTATCCCTAAACCTTATCCATAAAATTTCTCGGTTTACCTAGCAATAAGAAATATCACCTTTGATAAAAATTTTATGCTTAAGAGGCAACTGTTGGCAGATAACGAAAATTTAGGAAACAGAAAGTAGTTGAAGCTGTTAAACCCCATTACTCGGGCAATTTAAGACCTGGCCAATACAAGTAAGTCAGAGGACTGGCAAGGTCAACGGCCTGATCAGATACTGACTTCCGATCAGAGTTAATCTTGAATAGCTGAGTACCAAGGCTTCAGAAACGACACACTTGGAAGGTTAGCAACAGGAAACCAGCTTAACAGCTCATCATAGAGTCGTAGAATGAATACAGACCACAGTATTACACCCACATCAAAAGAAATTTTCAAGGGGACTGGCGTCTCATTGAAGGGAAGGTTCGCCTCCTTGGCTGCCTTTCGACGTTGCTCAAAGGCCTCTACCTCCGCGGTGTTCGTTGCCGCCGAAACAGGAATGCCTAGCGACAAGAGGTACTCCTGCCGTTCACTATACCTAACCTAGAATTTCCAAGGAAACGGAAAAGACAAAATATAAATTTTCTAAAAAAAGGGATTGAACGGGCAACAGATACAGTGGCCGAGAACCCCTGGAGGCATAGAGGTGAGTGTATTTTCTTCCTTTAAGGTGACTTTGCTTTTTCGGCTGATTAAAAACTCCGTTTGCTAAGGAACAATGCCATCATCCACCGTCAGGCAGCAGAAACAAAATAAATTCTAGTAAGAAGATTCTCACATTAACACTATCAATGGAACTGTACATTTAGAAAGTCATTTGACGAATATAGGTAAGCTTTGCATGGCAACAGTAGCTTATGTGGGCCCACTCATTAATCCCTACTCCCTGCATGTTTTCCTGCGAAAACGGTGTTTATAGGGTTTTATTGGTGGGGAATTAGGACACGCAGTGGAATATACTTTAATAAATGCTAAATTGATCTTATTTGACTGTATTTAGAAGTGCTGTTGC